TATAAACTTGTTTTTAAAATCTTATGGAGAAGGGTTGTGTAAGATTATGAGCAGTATCACCTTAGGAAGCAATGAGATGCAGTGGAGGAAAACAACTTTCTGAGAAGATAAGTTGCAGGAAAACTGCCGACCTATATCATTAAAGGGAGTTTTCTCATCTAGGAGTGCCCTTTAACAAGTAAATCACGCAGGTCCAATCTCTATCCCTGAACAAAGCTTAGAGGCCCTACCACCTGAGTCTGAGACTGAGAGACCCTACTAAGCAAAGTCCTTCTAAGGGCATCTAGGCATGAAACTAGAAGGACCACAAACAAATGAAAGGTAGAAAAGATCTGCAAAGATATTTTAACAATTCTTCTTTTCCTTCTGGGAGAGTGGAACCTCCCCATTTGGATGCTCCTGTGTTACAGTCCCAGATCTACTTACCGAGGAAGCAGAAATGGCATCAAACAAAATAAATATTGGAAAAACAGTTGGACTAGACCAAGTTTACCTAAAGCACATCTGTTCTGTAGACTACATTGTTTAGGACGTGAGAACGATCTATGTGTGCATTAAGGATATCCTGGATGAGGGAAGGAGAAAAGAAAAAGCAAACATTTGCAAGTGATATTCCATAGCAAGTCACATCTTTATCATTTTAGAACTGACTGAAAGGTGTAGAGAATAAAAGATCCCACTGGGCTTATTGTTTATGATTTTTTTAAAAAAAAGTATGTGTATGGTTCAGTAAACCAAAACTAAAGAGCTCTTCTTCAACCAGGTGTCTCCCATGCATAAACCAAAATTTCCTTGAAAGGAATAACAACAAAGATAAATTTTGTTCAATGACCATTTGATCATTAATATTAAGAGAAAAGTAAAACAAGGAGTGGCATGTTAATTAAAATGTTCAGTAATACCAAGGAAGAAATTCAGCACAAAGTCCTGGCAGAAAAGGGAGGCTTAACTTGGAGTACATGAATATTTTGAGGGAAGCTAAGCGGCGCAGTGGATAGAACCTTGGACTTGAAATCAGGAAGACTCATCTTCAGGAGTTCAGATCCAGCCTCAGACACTAACTTGATGTCTCTGGGCAAGTCATTTAACCCTGTTTGTCTCAATTTCCTCATCTGTAAAATGAGATGGAGAAGGAAATGGCAAACTATTCCTTGTATTTTTGCCAAGAAAACCCCACATGGGGTCATGAGGAGTTGGACAAGACTGAAAACAACTAAGCAACTACAATAATGAACACTTTAAAAATATTTTGATAACTGTATTTCAGTGTATAATTGGTTTCCTTTGTGAGCTCACGTATTTTATTTTATGCATTCGAAAGCATTATTTTGAGAAGAGGCAAATAGGCTTCACCAAACTGCCAAAGTGATTCACGACAGAAGAACCCCTGCTCTAGAAGGTAAGGGTCTCCAGATGCACCTCTTTGTGAATGATGTTGAGCTAAAGGCATGAAGCTTCAGAACATTACAGAGGCTCCTAGATGAGACTCATAATCACTCAGAGTTTGGCCTAACTATCCACACAAGACAAATCAAGTGGATGAGACTACTTGTCCAGGCTATGATTTGCAGTATATAAATAATCTATAGACCTCATCCATTAATACATGTATCTTGGACAGATATTATAAACAGATGGGTTAGACACAGAATTCAACATGAAAAGGAGAGGGGGCTGGATTGTCCTTTGGGAAACTGCAAAATTCTTTTAATGACCCCAAGCTTATCCCTGAAATAAAGGCCCATATTTTTAATTCCAGAATTCTTCTGGTGGTACAGTGGATAAAGTGCTGGGCCTGAACTCCTTGGAAGATCTAAATTCAAATACGGCCTCAGACGCTTACTAGCTATGTGACCCTGGACAAGTCATTTAACCTCTGGTTGTCTTAATTTCCTTATCTATAAAATGGGAATAATCATAACACTTACCTCCCAGAGTTGTTATGAGGATTAATGAGCTAATAATTGCAAAGTACTTAGCACAGTACCTGGTACATAGTAAGTGCTATGTAAATGAAGTGCTATGTAAATGTTAGCTATTATTCTTATTCTTATTCTTATTCTTATTGTGATGTTGTCTGGCTATGAGTCATGGAACATTACAGGGTCTAAGAATTAAGGTGAGGTTCACCCTGAGGACAACAGAGGGACACTAGTGAGCATGAACAAGCCCTAACACATTGCAAAGCAGGAATTGTGAAGGAAGAGTTGAGTAAAGGATCCCTCCAAAGATATCCTTTGATGTATAAAGAAACATGTATAATTTAAAGAGCTATAATGAGAGTGAGGGAAAATTGATGGACAGTTTGCATACTCTGTTGGTATCCTCATGATGTTAAGAAGAATCCAGAAAGCCACTCAGCATTTTCATTGAATCAACTATGATGGGCTTTCAGGAAGACGTATACAAGAGGCAGTGAAGAAGGCATGGCGGGGTCACAAATCTGCATAGCTGGAGAGAACACCCACGTTGAAGAGATCACAGATACAGTGGAATATTGGAGTACATATAAAGATATGCTGCTTAGATGCTTTATAACATTATTCTCTAGAGTAGATAGAACATCGACCTAATAACCTTACTTACTTTATTAATTTGCTGAATGGGTCCTTTCTTCTAGATAACCCAGTAGATTAGAGGGATCTGTATTGCTTGGTCTTACTTTAGATTAGGGCTGCCAACTATACGCTCTATAAAAGATTGTCCTAGATTTCAGTGTCTTGTACTGTTTTTCAATGTGTCAAGATACGTAAATGGTTCTGTATTTGAGCTGGGCCAGATGCTGATATAGCGCCTCACACTCTTCCCTTACCCAACCCCGTACACCCTGAACTTAAGGCTGTGTTCTCCAAACTGAAACCTGGCGACCTTAATGTACATAGATAGCTGTACAAACATCCAGAACAAACCAAGCCTAATATTTACATGACCCATGAGTCATTGTGTAAATAATGGCTTTGATAGAGCAATAAATGTGAGTTAGGAAATGGATGGGTAATGGGGGCATTATACGTACAGCATCCCCCTATAGGGTACCCAGAAAGGCTTCATAAGGTTAAGATACTCTATGAGTCCACATCTACTCAAACTATAGTTCACAAACCCACACAAATGTGCATTCTTTTACTGCTCAAAGGACACAATTAATTCAAATCAAAGTTATTTGATGAATCAGCTTATTTAGAAAAAAGCATTAATAGAATACTCCAACTCTCCTTTTCTCCCCTCAAACACCCAACCAACCAACCTGAGACACAGTCTTTCACCAATACACACACAGAGTGGGAAGAATGAGATTCATACAGTGGGGCACACACATAGGGAACATGTTTGTCCAGGGCAAATATAGAAGAAGATACGTTAAATATAAATGTCTAGGACACGTATTCTGAGGATAACTCATATCTCTGATGTCTTGCGGGAATATCACTGCACTGCTCTAATCAAGCAATCAATCAACAATTATTTGCCAGGCTCTCTGCTAGGTGCTAGCAAAGGAAGATAACAGCAAAAACTATCCTCAAAGAGTTTACAATCTAGTTATGGGAGATGACATGTACTTTTATAGGTATATAAAAATAGATGAAAGGTGATTTTTTTTTAAAGAGGGCAACCAGCATCATGGGATTAGGGTTAGCGAGATCAATAAAGGCCTTATTATCAGGTGATAGAAGGTCGGCCTTGAATAAAACTAGGGAGTCTCCAGTTCAGAGGTGAGAAGGGAATGCATTGGTGCTCTGTTTGAATCTGATCCCACTATATTCTCTGTGCGCATATGGCTAGGCCTATACATCCAGTCACTGCACAATGTCTCTGCTCCTCCCCTACGAGGCATCATATCTCTGCTGCTCCCCACTTCTCTCTCTCAGCTTCTCTGCTGTTGTCTGGGCCTTAATCTGGTCATTGCCTCCCCATCTACTATATCATATCTGGTACTCTCCATCTTTCTCTCTGCCTCTCTGTTTCTATCTTTCTGTGTGTCTCTTGTCTCTCACTTCTCCTCTCCTCTCCTACCTGGCTAGTCTCGCTGCTGGGCCTTGCTCCATGGTACAGTTAATAGGTTTCTTCTTTTCAGGGCCACTGCTGGACAGCTCAGCTCCTGTCTACCAGGCTGCAGTTTCTAGGATGCCCTGTTCCCCATACAATCTTTTCTTTTCCCAGTGGTCCATGTCGTTCCCTCTGGCTCTCCCTGTTCCTTTCTACTGAATGATTTAAGGGTCTTCTTTGCTTCAAGGCCAGCTCTTTATCTTTACCCAGTCCCTCCATAAAATTGAAGAAGGTTGGAACAATATGATTCTCATTTGTGTCCCTTTCATTTTTTTTTCTAATATCATTTTAAAAATTTAGTAATGGCGCTATTTGGAAGGCATATCTTCCACTGCCTGCTGACTCACCACCTCTACTCTCCAAACAGAAGGAAGGGCTCTTATAACAAATATGTGTAATCAAACAAAACAAATCAGTTCACTGGCTGACTGGGTGGAAACACCTGTCCTGTTTTGGGGCAGCTAGGTGATACAGCGGAGCGAGTGCCAGGCCTGGAGTTAGGAAAACCCATCTTCTTGAGTTCAAATCTGGCCTTAGACATGTACTAGCTGTGTGACCCTGGGCAAGTCACTTAACCCTGTTTGCCTCAGTTTCCTCATCTGTAAAATGAACTGGAGAAGGAAATGGCAAACCATACAAACCTAAATGACTGAACAATAACAAATGGTTGAGAATGTGTCTCATTCTGCACCTCTAGTATGTTATTTCTTTGCCATTTATGGAATTAATACTCATTGCTATCCTCCATAAGCTTGTTTAGAATCTGACAAGTTGACCATATTTCTACAATTTAGGTGACTGAAAACATGTTCTTAAATTCAGACAGCAGCAGCAAGGAAGGCAAAATGCACATGGTTGTACTGGGAACAGCCAAAAAATAGGGCTAAAGAAGCCACGCTGCTCATTCTTGATCCTTGTTCTTAATGTTTTCCTTGACCTCTTTTCAATCACAGCCAAGCCCAGGTGACAGGTGACAAAACTGGAGAGGATCTGGAAAAACCAATATCAATGTTATTGGGATCACAGCAACCAATGTAAGCAAACAGGCTTTACAAGTTTGGGGGTCCTGGGGCTCCTGGTGCCCTCTGTATTCCAGAGACATCATACAAGACAGGTAGGTGTGTAGGGGGGCTTATACCCCAGAGGACAGCACAGGGTGTCAGGTGTGGGGGTTTATTTTTGAGTTTCAATTACTGGAGAGAATTTATGGTGCCAGAGGCAAGCCTACCAGTTAGGTAGAAGGAGGAACAAAGAGTAGGTTTGAAGAACAAAGCATGGGGATGTGGTTTTGCAAAGAGTATGTTTGGGCAAGAGCACATCTAGGAAAAGGCATGGCATGATGCTGTGCTACATCTTGCATACCTTGCACAATATGTCATCTCAGGGTACTCAGCAGTCACATGTGGACAATCTGACAGTATATGGGGTCAGTCTTGTTCAGGTGTGATTGCCCAGCCTACACACCACGGCTGACTAAAAGCAGGAAGGGAGCAGTCTGGACTGTGCTTTGGAACTTTGAATCTTTAATTGCTCAGGGTTGCAGAAGATGGGCATTCTGTGTTATATTTAGATCTCATATTCTGCTTTGATGTAACTATCTCTGGCCTTAACCTCTACTCTGACCTCTATCTCTTCACTGTTCTAGCATACCTCAAACTCAATATATCCCAAACTGGGCTTATTAGAATCTTTTCATCATTTCATTTATGCAAAACTGGCAATCTTCTGGTCCTTCTACTATATTCTGCTGCTTCTATGTCTTTGCTCAGGCTGTCCCATATTGCTAAAATGCCCTGATTCCCCATCCTGTCCTATTGAATGCTTATTATCCTTTTATTCTTATTTAACTATTATTATTTTTTGAGACAGGATCTCCCTATCTCACCTTGGCTGGAAGTGCAGGGACCATTCATAGTCTGATCAGACTACTGATCAAAATGGAATCTTTAACTTGCTCCATTTCCAACATGGACTGTTTCACCCTTCCTTAAGCAAACTTGTCTTCCCCATTTCTCTCGCCACCCCACTTCCTCAACTATATTTGTGCCAGACTTACTGTGGATACCATAGCTCAGAACTCTCAAACTCAATTGATCCACCAGCTGCAGCCTCAGTAGCTGGTATTGGAAGTGTGGGTCACCATATCCAACCTACTATTCCTTTAAAGCCCAACTGAGGTGCTTCCTCCTTTAGGAAAACTTCCCTAGCTCTCCTACCCCCAATTGGTAATGACCTTACATACCACTGCTTTGTACCTCTTTAATGAACTTGTCATATGATATTATGTACTGAAGTTATCTAATTTGGTGTCATATCCTCTTTTGGTACTATATGCTCCTTGAAGCAGGGTCCATGTTCAATTTAAACTTTGTATCTCCTTAAGTTTCCAGCATCGGGCCCTCCACATAGAAGGCCCTACATAAATCAGCATTAATGACAGAGAATTGGGTCTTTATAAGACCAGGACCAAAGGAAGGGCTTACCAAGTATTGACCAAAGACTGAAATCCATTCAGTAACTCCCTTCCTAATTTTTACTTCACATAGGAAGCTGTCAGCAGCCAGAATAATTGCAAAGGGATATGAGCCCCTTTTGGGCCAGATGCCTTCTGGAAATAACTCTCTGTGTATCTCTGTATCATAGTCCACACAGTTGGAAAAGCTCAAAGAAATTGTAGGATTCTTGAACTGCAAAATGGCGTACCAGTGAACAGCTGTTGGCCAATTGAGAGCTAATTAATCCTTGATTATAAATCATGACTGATCACTAAGGGCCCTCCATCAGAGCAGCTGGGGTTCCAGAGTATAGCCAAGAATTCAAGATGGCAACTTTGGAATGGCTCTGAATTGGACATTTTGCTTCCTGTTACATGATTTTTAGTCCTGTCTCCTACAAGAGCTGTGCATTTGATCGTACATCTCTATAAAATAGGGCTGCCACATTTAGAGCACCAGAGGAATTGGACAGAGAACTTCACTAGAGGTCTTTCAGCACATTGGGCAGACTTCCCATGGCTAACTGTTGGAAAAAGACAGATTAGAGTTATACAGGATGGGCAGTCAAGAGTGGGCTGTAATTTGTATGTTTGAGGGAACTCCTTAACAGATTTGATTACTGATCTTTTTGAGGTTTGGTTTGTTATCACAGAAAGTTAGTGAGTTAGCTTACAGTTAGTTCCTATTAACTCAACAGTATAAAGAAAACTAAAGATGTATGCTAGTAATGTTTGAATAATAAACATAGCTCACCAGTCTAGAGAGCTTCGGAGATTTCCAAAGTGCTCACTCACCTTGCCAGGACCTTGTGATGGAGGTGACAGAAGTATAAACAACTTCAGTTTCCTCCCAGGATCCACAGTTCCATTGATATGGACATTCCCTCCAATTGGATCAGATTGAAGTAGTAGTAGTAGTAGTAGTAGTAGTAGTAGTAGTAGTAGTAGTAGTAGTAGTAATAGTAATAGTAATGATAATGATAGCTAGCATTTGTATAATGCCTTAAGGTATGCAAAATATATTATCTCATTTTATCTTCACAACAGCCCTGGGAGGTAGGTGCTATTAATTACCTCCATTTTATGGATGAGGAAACTGAAGCTGAAAAGTTAAGTGAATTGCCCAAGGTCACCCAGCTGATAAGTGTCAAAAGGAAGAATTCACACTTAGATCTTCCTGAATCCAATTACACCACCTAGGAGAAAAGTCCCAAAAGTCCTCAAGTAGTACAGCCTGGTGAAAAATGAAATGTTCTGAGCTGAGTTCCCCCCTTAAATAGAGACTTTGGTGTCCAGGGCCATATCCTCTAATCAGAGGGATGTTGATGAGGCAGAATACTAAGGCTGATGAGCTTTTCTCAATGATGAGCTTCCTGGAGCATGGTGGAAACGTCATAGAAGTCTTAGAGTACTGTAGCCAGGTATTTAGGGAGCTTCCCAAAGAGGAAACTACTATTACAAATGGAACTCTGTAACTTTCCTGTGATTTGTGAACTTGGAAATGCCTTTGCCAGGTGCCTTTTCATTCCTTCACCCAGACTTTGCCTCCAATTATTAGAATATAAACTCCTTGATGGCAGGGATTGTCTCACTTTTGTACTTGTATTCCCAATACTTAGCAGAGTACTTGGCATACGGTAATAGATCTTGTAATAGATCTTCGATATCCATTCATTTTCAGTTAGTGATTTGATGGTTTACAGCAGACTCAGTAGAAAGGCTCGAATGAAATTGTATAATGAATTAAAATAAGTATTCAGTATGACATTTTTTTTTAGGACACAAGTTATACTTGTTCATAAAATTGTATTGATAGCATCTTTCATTTTTATCTGTTTTATTTCTTCCCTTTCTCAAAATGAACCATCTTTTGCAACAAAGAATAAAAAAAGAGAGAGAAAACAGCAGAGCAACAAAATTAATCAACCATCAGCTTGGTTCTATAGCATATTTGAGGATCCATACCCATAGTCCCCACCTGTGCATTGAAGGGAATGAGGTGTATTTTTTTCCTTTTTTGCTTTGGGGCCAACCTTGGTTCTCAATCACACTTCCTTTAGTTTTGATCTTTTGGTTCTATTTGCATTGTTGGAGTCATTAAGCATGTTGTTTTCCTCAGTTCTGCGATCTTCATTCTGCATCAGTTCACATCTTCACATGATTCTCTAAATCTTCACATGCAGTTTCTTTTATGTTTTAAATACATTTATTTTTATATAAGCTACATTTCCCAGTGTTTACCTTCCCCCATTCCTTGCCAGAGAGTCATCCCCCAAAATGGAATAAAAATATTCTTTAAAAAATCCAGTAGAAAATAGCCAACATATTGAAGAAAGTCTATTTTATGCAGTGTTCCACACCCATAGTCTGCCTCCCCTGAAAACAAGGCAGGCAGGTGCCTTCTCACAAATTTTCTTTGGAGTAAAGCTTGTTCTTTATAATTTCATAATATTCACTTTTAATTGTTTTCTGATGGTTGTTCTTTACATTGATTATTTTCTGATGGTTGTTCTTTACATTTCCATTGCTGTAGTCATTATGCGTGGTGTTTTCCTGGTTTTACTTATTTCAGTTTGTGTCATTTCATATAAATTTTCCCATGTTTCTCTTCATCATAACTATAATTTCTTAATATTCTATTGTAACTCATGTATTACAACTGGTTTAGCCATTCCCCACCTGGACATTTGCTTCATTTCCAGTTTCGTAATAAGTGTTTTTATGAATATTTCGCCATATGTGGGGCCATTATATTTAGGACCTTCATTTCATGACAGACTTCTTAAATGAATGCTGCATTAGAAATCTGAGACATATTTCAGGACAGTTTAGAGGGCAGGAGGAAGCACCAGATGATTTCTGGAGAACCTATCCATAATTTTGTAATTCAGCTTTCTGTGTTCACAGAGATAGAGAGCCACAGTGGAAAGAACAGTAAATTTTGGGGTCAGGACAGCTGGCATCAAATCCTGTCTGATATTGGCTGTCAAGTTGCTTCCTAGCATGGGCAAGTTACTTAATTCCCTCATTTAAAATGGGGATAAAAATATTTGCAACCACCTCAATCATGGGGTTGTGAAAAAAGTGCTTTGTAAAGCTTAAAAACCTACATAAATGTGAGTTATTATTTGCTATGGAAAAATCCCAAGAATTGGGATCCTCTGAAGAGCGCAGGAAAGATTTGATTTCTTAGCAGTAATTCAGCAGTCAGCAAATTTTCTTGGCCTTCAGTTCCACTAATTGAATGGAAAAGTCCCACTTTGTCTTCTTCACCAGCTTAATATTCTCTTCCTGAGGGTCTGACCTTGGTTTCCTCTCTACGTATTTTCCCTTGGCAGTCTCCTTCACTCCTATAGCTTAGTCTATCACTACTATGCAGACGTGTCCCAACCACTAGCTCCAATCCTGACCTCTCGTTTGAGCACCAGGAGCCTAAGGACCTTGACCTGAATGTCTCACCAATACCTCAATTTGTCCCAGACTGACTCATTATACTCTCCTCATACTCTATGATCCAGTCAGACTGGCTATTTTTCCATTCCTTACAATGTTCTACCTTCCCATACCCCTTCTCCATATCTTTATACCGCTTTTAAGGCAATCCTTCACTCCCTCACTTATGTAATTGCTTCCTTTAAGAGGTATCACCTCCACAAAGCCTCTCATGATCTCACTTCCTAGTGCCCTTCCCCTCTCCTCTGTATTTATTCTTTATATTTATTCTGTATATGTATATTGCATCTCCAAATAGAATTTTAAGCATCTTGAGAGCAATTTTTCGGTCCTTTGTATTTCCAGGTGCCTAATAAATGCTTGTTGATTGACTGAATTGGCCAGGACACACGTACCTGAATGACCATTGGTCATTGTTGTTCAGCAGTTTCAGATGCAGCTGCCAGTTATCAGAAGTAAGACCTATGAAGAATTTGTTTCCATGATTAACCTAAGAATGTTACATGGTCAGTGACATTGGGAAGTGGTGATGGAAGTCTGCTTAACTTGGATAGTAATAAACGTCCTTAAGAATGACTGAGAGAAGTTACTGTTATCTCAGAATCAGGAGTTGAAAATAGGAAACACAAGGGAACATTTTGCATAAGTTTGAAGAATAAGTGTTGTGCTTTTGAAAGGCAGTCTTATAAAACTATTAATTCAACATGTAAGCAAAAAAATTACAGTAAATCACATTTATAGGTAATACAAATATTTCTTCTTAGAAAGAGTATGCAAAACTGGGGGTTATAATTTTACAGTTTTAATAGACAATAAGTAGTAATAATGACAATAATAATCATCAATAATATTGGCCTAATCCATCATTAGCTTCACTTTTATAGTTAGAAATTCATACATTAGGAGCGCCTTTAACCATGAGCTGAGTCAGAGTAGCCAAAACAAGGCACTGACAAATGAGGGGAAAAGGCCACCCCAGACATTTCCATGCTGTGTTCCTAACAGGCCTACATATCCTGATGATTTTCCCAGAACCAGACTGGTCTCCATTCTTAGAATGCATTCCCTCCTCTCTGTTCTACCTCTTCAAATTCCTGGCTACCTTGAAGGCTCAGCTCAGGAACAATTATTCCATGCAGTATCCTTATCAGATCCACTGAAGAGCTACTGGCTAACTCTTAGAAGCCAAAGAGACATCACAAGTCATTTGCAGTCATGATTCTGACTTACCCCCCCTAAGGAGACACCTATCCAGTCTCTGTATTCCTTTGGAAGTACAGCCAAACCCCAATTTTCGGATACACTAGCTAAGTATGTTCCTTTGTTCCACACCACAGCTCCTTCATTAGCTAAACACTACTCACTTCTGTAAACTTCTCCAAAAGATACAAGGGTGCCAAATAACCATCACTTCATACTTAGCCATCTCTAAGTAGCACTTAATCATGTCAAAACTGATTTGGAACAGATAAACCTCAGGAGTGGAGTCTAATCTGTACCCTAATAGGAATCCTCTCCAAATTGTCATCCATCTTTGGTTTAAAAGACCTCTGGTAGTGACAATGGAAAGAAACAAGCATTTATGTGCCAGCTACTGTGCTAAGAGCTTTACAATGATATAGTACTCCCTGTTTTTAGAAACAGCCATTTCACTTTTCGGTAGCTCTAACTTTTTGAGTCTGAACCTGCTTCTCTGAAACTTAACCTTGTTGCTTCTAGTTCTTGTGGGGCTAAAGCAAAACAAGTTTGTCTCCCTCATCTTCTATGCTCTAGATTAAATGGTTCCAGTTCTTCAACTAACCTTCATGTACCAAGCTGTGTTTAAAACAAAAAAAGCCAACAGTTCCAAGACCCATTTTATTTGTCTAGGCAATGGGGTTAAGTGACTTGCTCACACAGCTAGTTAAATGTCAAGTGTCTGAGTCTGCATTTGAACTCAAGTCCTTCTGACTCCAGGGCTGGTGCTCTATCCACTGCGCCCCCTAATTGCATTTTATAGGATGGCATAAAAACATTACTTTTGGCTTTACATTCTCTCTTCTACTAAAATTGTGCTGATACCTCATGGATTGAAAGTTCTCAAAAGTTATACCAAAGAAATAGAATTCTGATGAGTCCTATTTCAAGAGCTCGATAACATACTGTATTTTTGCCACTCGAAAATCAGCCCAAGTTCAGAGGCTCACCACAAGACTGGCTAGCAGATGATGAAATTATTTGGCCACAAATCATGAAGATGGTCTAAGTTGTGGAAGGACTGCAACCTGTAAAATATTTCTATTCATTAGACAAGATAAGGTGAACAAAAGGCAAGATTTTGAGCTATTGTTTATTTTTTCTCATTAAGAGAAAGCAACATGGCATAGCAGTGTAATAAGTATTGTATTTAGGTTCAGAGAAATCTGATTTCAGATTATGGCTCTGTCATTTACAACTTACAACCTTGAGCAAGTAAAATGAGCAGACTAACTAGATGATCTCTAAATTCCCTTCCAGCTATAAAAATTATTTAATCTCAAATTAAAGCAAAAATAAGAAAAATACAGCTTATAACACAACTTTTATTAGAAAAGTTATACATAACACAGCATCAACTATTTTCAAGAACAATATTAAACCTGATAAGCAACAAAAACCAGACTAACAAAATGTGTAACAAGAAACTAATGACCTTTCTATAATTAAACATTCAAATTATCTACAATGTCTTTTTACAAAGGGGGAATTCCATGGTTTACAGGCACATCATGTTGAAAATAAAGCTGCAGTAGCAATTTTATACAGTTACCTTTCTCAAGAAATTGAATTATTAAAACAGTAATTATGCAGTCTCACAAATTTTTAAAACATTTCACATAATTTTACATTATTGGGTATATATGGAAATCTGAGTCTCAAAAGTTAATCTTTTCCACCAAAGTGCCAACGTTTATGCCAGAACTTATAGTGTAATTTTGCCCTAAAAAAAGTTAAGACATGTTTTGATAATCAACATATTCACATAATTTCTGGTTCTATCTGGTCTTTTAACAATAAAGCCTTTATTTTATTTATTTATTATTAATTTTTTTTTTCCTTTTTCATTTGTTTTAGTTTTTTAAATTATAGGAAACCAGGTGCAGGATTTTCTCTTGCAAAGCTATTAAAATAAAGGTCCAAACACAGGAGTGTGCAGTATTGGAAAAATAGATCAATACTAAGACTTATAATAAATATCAGAAAAGCCATTACAGTTAACATAGCATCTTCTGCTTAATAAGTATAATCAGGTAAGTGGCTTCCCATCAGTCTGACCCTTTGACATACAAGACATTTTGTAGTATTTTATTCCTTGATTTTTTTTTTCATGATTTGAATGTGCCAAATAAGTGGTTCATTATCTGAAAACTATTTTAAAAAAGCTTGATTTATAGCTTATGTGTAGCTAGAATTTCTGTTCAGTCCTGAAAGAAAATCTGACTTCAGTGTTTATACAATGAAACTAAATTCTTTGCTATGGTGGGTTGTTATAGCAAGCCTCCAAGGCAATAATAAAAATAATGGCATCTCTACAATGAGATAGAATGATATGGATTTGAACTAGATGATTAGGAGAACGCTGGGAATGCTTTAGCCTAAACAAGTCTGGCCTTTCATCTGAGGAGGTTCGGTTTCAAGCAAGTGCTCTGCAGAGATGTCTGCCTCCTCCTAAATCATTACAAGATTTTCAGTGTGCTACAAAAGCAATTCCTATTGTTGTAGGAATTACTAAACATCTCAACTGGGGAGAAATTTGTCCATAGTTTTCAGACAGCCAGAGACCAGAGCAAAAGGTTTATAGAGAAAATCCAATTCTATTCTGTTAAAAGTAGACATTTTTTGATCAAGTACCTTATATATATAATAGGTACTTAACAAATGTTTTGAGGTTGGCAGGCTTTTCCCAGATAAGTTAACTTTTCAAATGCACTAATGGAGAATTAAGATACAAATCATGACTTTTCATTGCAACTCAACATCATTACATGCACCAATATTGCACACATCTGCTCTGAACTGTTAAAATCATCATCTGGGTCATGGAGACCGTATCTCCATCAGAAAACAAACAAAACCCACCCGAGCAGTTTCCCTTAAAAATGAAGATGGTAAATTAAAAATATAAAAAGGGGCAAGAGATACTTTGTACAGACAAAAATCTAAATTTTCTATAATGGTCTTGTGTGCCCTACACATTGGGGGCAATTCATTTATACTAGTGAAATAAACACTAGCTATAATCCTCAAGACATTCAAATTATATGGAATCTTGGTCCAGGTGTTGCAATGATGTCACTGTAAGGCTCCTCCTGTTTCAGCTCAATAGCCTGCTGCTTTTTAAGTACCAAGAAGCTGTAGAATTTTGCTGCAGCTTGTTTTCTGTTCGTATTTCGGCACAAGTCAAGCAAACTAATAGATTCTGCTCCAGTTTTAGCAAGAGCTCTCTGAAAAGCAAATAAAAGGTAGATTGAATAAGCAATTTAAGAAAGCGTTTATAATTTGAGATGACAGAAAACGAGCATTCTACATTAAGTCAATAACTATTTCGTATTAGATGAGGACTGATAATCTGCAAATCAATTTTTGGCTAAACCTACTAATAATACACTTAACTAAATAGTACCACAGAAATATTACAGTGATGAATTTTCTGAACTGTGTATCCATTTAAGATTGTGTACTTTCTTGGGTACAATTTGATGGTGAGGTACCAGTTAATATGTTGCCTAAGATCAATAAAAAAAACTAAGCAATGAAATATTATTCTGTCAAGAGACCAAAGGAACCCAAACAATTTTCAAATCAATCAGGTGGACAAAAATCAGAAACACATAATATATCTTGGGAATTATGCAAATTTAAGGGGTTAAGATTATTAAACAATAGCAATTCTTTGATAAAGCCACATAATACAACTACTTAAACATAGTCTAAAAATTACCAAATGTGATCTACAGAATTCTAGGTTATTTACATAAAATTTTACATAAATGTTCTTTTATGTCATAGGTTTGACAAGAACTACATGGCATACATGTTCCTAACTTGACTCAACACAAAGGGCATCTTTCAAAACAAAAATGGACTACAAAAATATACAGTTTCCTACTCCAAATCTAGATATGGCCTTTAAAAAAAGATGATTAAAAGCTATCTTACCCACTCAATATATCCAAATTTCTGACCTAACAGAAGAAGGGTAGTATTAGGATCTACAAAGAAGGCTTCCTCTGAGAAAAAGACATGCTGCTAGCTAGGAACTAGGGGTTATGAATAAAACCACCTGGCTGCATTCACTGGGGAATTTTCCCATCTTTTGTGGGTGGCATAAAATTTAACAAGAATTTGTGTACTTCAACACCCTCAATAATGTCATGACTAACCTTCTTTTCCATCTGTATCTCAAATTTACATTATTCTAAAAGTTTTCACATAACCATGCCTTTTAATTTTCATTATGTAAATTATGAAGGGGATCATTGCTTAATCAAATGTTCCCTTTTATCACTCTTCTCTAAAAGCAAATCAGTAATACCTGAAGACCATGAAGCATCTGCTGAGTTCTTTTGTTCCATCTTCTTTCTTCTTGATCCTGATCACCCCCTGTAGCATCTTCTTCCTAAAAAGGGGGTGCGTGGGGGTATTACAGCTGGGTTAGATTTAATATCAAACAACCAAACTGGGGAAAAAAAATGAAATTCTTATTTCTAAATATCCTCGAAGCACTGAACTAATTTTATCTCAGTTCCCCCAAAAGCTGCTGCTGAAAAATTTAGTACCAAGCAGAAGCTTTACAGTTCAGTATGTGTGCTTAAGATGGCATAGCCCTTTAAAAGCAGTTCTAGAAACAAGAATACAGCATACCAAGATACCTTTTACCCTTTAAAGGTACATATTCCCACAAGTTCTTGTTGCTATAAAGTTTAGACAAACATCAAAGTGCTTTGTGTTCCCAAGAACAATATCCAAAAATGTATACTTGGAGAGGCTTTGGCTCACAACAATTCTTGGTTAAAAATACACAATATTAAAGATAAACACTAGAGACCACAAAGGACTGTTAGAATTGTAACAAAATGTATGGGTATCATAGGAACCTAATAATAGTGCTACCTTACATTTGTCTTGCAGTTTAAAATACTTTACACACTTCATCACTTCAAAACCTCACAACAGTTCTATAAAATTAACAAAGGAAACTGAGGTATAATTTTTAGGAAACTTGTAGCTAATTTAGAAACTCAGGTCTAAGACCTTCAACTCCAGCGTTTTTTCCATTAGAGGACACTGGGCCTAAAGAGACCCTAAATCTGGTTCTGAAAGGTTCCAAATAAAAGCTACACTAGCCCCCTGGCCACAGCCTGCCAAATCTAGCCTAAGTAAAATTTTGGAAAAAAAAAAAAAACAACACACATATTATGTATATAAAACAAAAATTGGCTTTTCTCAAATTCTAACATCATCACTAGACTTCACCTTTACCTCCTGTTTCATTTTGTCAGTAGATACATATTAGGATATGATGCCTTTTTGCTGTGTGGTAAATAAAATAAATAGTATTCCATTTATTGAGATGTCATCTAACACAATTAAGACAGAGTTAAGAATTAGAGTTAAGTGAAAAAGGTTTCTGGACAGGCAAGAGAGGTCCAATTACAAAAGCTTAAGATCATGCCTGTTCAACCTCACAGAATTCCTGGGACCAGTGGTGTCAAACTCAAACAGAAATGGATCCTTCCAGTTTCATATTAATTTAGAAAACTACAAAATAACATTATCTATGTTGCATTTTTGTTTATTTTGTTAAACAGCCAATACTCAAGTTTTGCAGTGAATTTGACACCTCTGCCTCAGACTCAATTAGGGTTCAATTGTTTTTATGTTACATTCAATTTTAATGAGGTTAGAAATCTGCCTTACAGCAGATCAAAAGAGAAAGGTAGAAGATTCACTAAAGACATACCAACAATTGCAATAAATGACATTAAGCCAGGAGACAGTCATTTTTAAGAAAAAAATTATAGGAAAGAATTCTTAACTCTGGAAAACACTAAGTGGAGGGCAAACACCCCTACACCATAGCACAGTATAATCTTAGAATCATCAGCTCATAGAATTAAGAGATAGAAGGGACATTATTATCAAGTCCAATCCCTTCATTTTATAACTGAGGAAACTGCAGTTTAAAGAAGTAGCATGACTTGCTAAATGCCCAACAGGTAATGAAGTATGAAAGCCACAATGTGAACCCAGGCTCTGTTTCTAGCCCTGATGCCAACACATTACATCCCTTTGCACTACCATGGGTTTTAAAGAAAAAGTTAGAAGCAGCTAGGTGGTGCAGTAGATAACAGCACTGGCCCCAGGGTCAGGAGCACCTGAGTTCAAATCCAGCCTCAGACATTTGACACTTACCAGCTGTGTGACCCTGGGCAAGTCACTTAACCCCATTGTCTAGCCAAAAAAGGTTAAATTATGTCTCTCACAGTTTAGGAAGGCATACTGGAGCAGTACATTTTAGAAATATTTCCATCAGAAAGCAATCAAATAATGGGTTTTGGTGTTTAAAAGGACAATTTCACTTCAGTGCAACACTTTATGCCCCAATGTTGAGAATGAGGTGCTGGCTGATGCAATCATTTAATTTTTTAAAGAAAATATTGGAGAAACAGTATCAAATTTCATGCCTTGAAAGACACAGATTAAAAACATCCAAGGAAGACTCTCCATGCACCTCTTAGTAACAATGAAGATCACAGAAGCTCAGAAACGGAAGGTGCCCTAGAGACTACTGAGATTTTGTTCAATTCCTTCCTCTTACAGGCTTATTAGTCTTCTCTCCAGTATCTTTGAAAAATGGGGACCTAACTTTTAGCTTGAATGCATACAAGGGGACTCTCTTATGAACGAAGTCTACTTCCCTTCAAGCCAGTTCTAATTGTGAGGAAATTATGTTTTACAGAAATTAGCCTCCCTTGTAACTTTTTTTTGCCTTTGAATCACAAAAATGTTCAATCCTTCTAAATGACAACCTTTTAAACGCTTCAAGAAAGCAATTCATGTCTCCTTTATACCTTCTCTGTGATAAACATCCAATTTTTCCCCCCCAATGAACCTTCTGTGACAGTACAGCCCTTTAAATGTTCAGTATCAGTTAACATAACTTATACATTTAAAACAAAACCAGAAAGTCATGTGGAAATAGCATAATAAGAATGAATTTTCCAGTCTTCTGAGTTTCTCATTACCTCTTCCTCTTCTTCCTCTTCCTTATCTTTCTCTTTTTCCTTTTCTTTCTCTGGCAAAAGTTCCAGCTCAGGTATTAGCTGACAGATATTTGGAGGCTCTTCTGGAGGAAGTTCTACAGGTGGGATTTCCAACTGCTGCAACTGTTCAGTCTGGTATTCAAAGAAATGATAAGAAGCAATGTAAATGTAACATGCCAGTTCAAAGTGGATAAAGCTTTCAGGATTCAAAGAAATACTGGGTCAAAGGATATGAAAAGTTCTCAAACGAATTTTAAACTATTAGCCATATGAAAGATTGTTCCAAATCACGATAAGAGAAATGAAAATCAACATCTCAAAAGTTTTACCTCACAATCACATAAGCCACAAAGATGAAAAAGACAGGAATAATCTTAAGTTTGGAGGGGTACAGAAAGATAAGCACAGAGTTGGTAGAACTGTGAAGCAATCCAATCATTCTGTAAAGCAACTGGGAATTATGCAAAAATGACTAAAATGTCCACACCCTTGGACACATATACATCGCATGGCTAGCCACATACCCCAAGGTCAAAGGTGGCAAGGTCTCATATATACTATAACAGTCACAGCAGCACTTTTTGAGGTAGAAAAGAACTGGAAACAAAGTAGATGGCCATTGATTACAGAATGTTTAAATTGTGGTATGTTAATTTAATATTAATTGCACTGTAATAAATGATCAACATAAAGAATTCAAAGGAAGACTAATACGAACTGACTCAGGGTAAAAGAAATAAAACTAAGAAAGTAATATGCAATCATAACAATGTTAAGTAGATAAAACAAAAATCTAAAACTGAATGCTGTGGTAAGACTAAGTGTGGTCCTGGAGAACAGAAAAGGTACCCCCCCCTCCTCTCTGGAAAAGTAGGGAGACTCAAGGGTGTGAAATATTATATATTTTGTTGGATGTGGTCCCTGCATTGCTTTGCCTCGCCCAATTGCTTCTTTCTTCCCTTCTTAATCTTTGTTAGAAAGGATGACTTTTTGGATAATTCAGAAATGAAGATAATTTAAAATTAACAAATATTTAAAATAATATAAGGTCAAATTCTCTTACTTTCTCTCTAAACCTGAGACTACAGAATAATGACCCTAATATGGATACCTTTTTCTTAAACATAAATATTCCCAGTAAAGGAGAAATTTTGCCAACAGCTTTAAAAACCATGAAGAAAAACAGCTATTTTTTCATGACAAATATTTATATGGTAAACATTTTAACATAGATTGACACAAAGTCATGACCAAAACATTACATGCAACTAAACTGGCACATACTGTTAGCTATCAGAATGGAAAAAATGTCCTATATTATTAATTTTTTTAAACAACTGAAAGTTGGTACAGAAAAGCTCAAGAATAGAGTGGATACTAGAGGGGAATAAAAATACTAAATATGGCTCACATTTGTAAACCACTTTCCTCATGACAAACAAATGAGGTAGGGTAGTAGTAGTTCTAAATAGCCTTTTAGTAGTGGCATCAAAAACTTTTAAGAAGAATGAAATGACCCCACCTTCAGGGTCTGTCTTACATTTTTTCTTAGCTTCAGCATCTTCTGTTAAGAATATGTTATGGACAGTGTTCTGATAGAATGTTCAAGAAGCTCTTCTCTATTCTGAACTGGGACAATGCATAATATGCTTTAATTACAACTCCTGGCCACCAGAGGGCATAGAAAAGCTGATTCTTACATAATCAAAATAAACCCGAAAGACCCTTTCTCTACATAGGCTGGGCAAAAAGGGCTTCTTGGTGTTTTGAGTCTTCTGCTGCTAAATTCCACTATCATGAGATTATGTTAGGGGGTCCAAAAATATGAAAATGAAGCACCTAGGTTTATAGCACACATCATGTCCAGCCCCTTCTCACATGGCTCCCTAAGCTAGGTAAACAATAGTATCTTGGAAACTGCACTCCCCTATTCTAGAAAGATTCAGTAATACATGGAAACAGTTACACAAAATTTAGGGCAGTTTATGTAAGGGAGAATAAGGATATTCCCAACACTGAACAAGAATCAAACAAAATGAACCTGAGGCTCTAGCCTGTCTTAGGTCTGTTAAATGCCTCACTTCATCTGTGCGGTTTTCCACATAGTAGAGGGATTGTCAATCAGATTACCCAGACTTCCTGTTTCCCAAACTAGAAGACTAAAGATTAGAGACTTCAGATCTGGAGTATCAAGAGTAACACTAATAGGAAACGGTAAAGAAAAAAATCCATGACACTCACTTGATCATAAAAGCCCTCAAGAAAGAGGATATCTCAATTTTTCATTCAAATTTAAGTATTTTTGGAAGGGATCTGATTCCATCAGTGAAGAGGAACTCTTAGTAAGGATAATTCCTCTACCAATGTAGATTAGTAACTGTTCTGCAACTTGCAGTCTTAAGAACGCTGAATGCGTCACTGAAAAATCAAAGGCTCTCCCAGCCTCACAAAGTCATTATGTACAAGTAAACTTTGAACAGAGGTCTTCCTAACTCAAAGGTCAGCACTTTATCCATTATGCCATGTCTTCTCTCTTAAATTAGGATCTAAAAATCATAAGTCCTTTTCCAGTGATAATCTTTGCCTTTACATTTCTTCCCTTCATCAACAATACTTATTACTATGTGCTTGATTTACTTTGTTGACTAATGTCCAATATGTCTTTCCTAACAAAGACTAATCATGGGGCAGCTAGGTGGCACTGACATATAAGTCATCAGCTGTGTACTCTGGGCAAGGCACTTAACCTCAATTGTCACACACACACACACACACACACACACACACACACACGACTAACCATACTCAAACATCAAGGAGATGGTGTAAAAAGGTATACTTTTGTCATACATATGACCTTTCTTACTTACAGGTAACACAGGCTCCGGGTCAACTTGCTGTGCCTTGCGTTTTACTCCTGTTTGAGGTGGTGGCGGTGGCATGACAGATTCATCCAAATTGGTTCTGCTGCCCTCCATCATTGATTCCTGCAGGTGGCTTGGCTCTTCTATAATAGGTTCATCTGCAAACCATTATAAAGATTAGATTTGATATAAAGTTGAGAGCCCTATTTCCATACTGTTTCATTACCAACATGAAGACACTTTTTCAAGGCTGAAAAAGATATACTTTACTCATATGCTATTACAACAAATCACTATATTTTTTCAACTAAAGCTTGTATCACACACCCCCCCCCATCAAATCTGACTTTTGTGAAATGTAATAGTGGTCTACAACACAAATGTTTTCTCTTGCTGTATTTCTACTTATTTAGGTCAATTTAAAGAAATCTTATTCTACAGTGCAGTCTGATTCAGACTAATGTGGTAATTATCCACGAATTTCAACCTAAATACTAGTTTAGGCCTGGAATAAGAATCACCACATTACAAACCAATAACATCATGTTGCTGTTGCTGCTGCTGCGGCGGCTGTTCCTCTCTGGGTACCTCTGGATTTTCAAAATCTTTGAGGAATTCATCCAAATTGTCTGCTTCTCCACCTTTCCTCCTTTTCCTAAGATCTTCTGGCACGAGAGGTGTGAGACAGCGTGTAAAGAGCTAAAAGAGATGTACATGAAAGTATAAACAACTGGTTCTATACCAAACCTCAGTTGTACTAAATGTCAATGCCCCATATATCTTGAAATCAGCCTTCCAGGGAACCTCAACTGTATCAATCAGGAAATAATTAGAAAATAAAGTTTTCTAAAAGTTTTAAAGTGACCACCCAAGTACAATACCTTTCTCTTGTGCAGCCCTCAACCAGATAACTGCCAAAATAAGACAGCAAAACATACTAACAATAATTTAAAATGACAAATAGCCTTACGTTTATGGTCAACAATTAGGGAACAACTAAATCAATGCATACCAACAGAATAGGATAGTAAGCCATAAAAAAGGACAAATGTATAGAATACAAATATATGGGTGAAAAAAAGAAATGGTGCAAAACAAAACCAAGAGAATATGAAACACATTGACTTCAACCATATTTTTAAAAAAAGAACAAAGGCAAGAAGACTTTCTAAGGTCACAGACTGATTAAGAAGGCATAGGTAACGGTTATTCTTATTTTGTTGAAACATACTGCTTAAACAATCAAAATGCAAATAGCTGAAATTTTAAGGTTTTATTTGGAGATTTACTCTGGGTTTTTTGGTCTATTTGCTGAATGTTGTATATATGATTAAAATACAAAAGTATTTGCAAAAATCTAAAAGAACTACTAAAACAATGTTTGTAATGATTCTGAACCAGAGCAAGAAAAGTAAAATAAATTTAAGCGTGCTTAAAAAAACTGTCTGGGCATTCCAATAGGAAAGCTTTTGTTACATGTGCATTTTTTTGGACAATGCCAAATAAATGTTATCGCATTACCAAAATGTACTAATGGAATGGAACAGAATAAGTATTTATGATGTCAGGTGCTATGTTAAACACTTTACAAATATTAAATTTGATCCTCATAATAACCTTGTAAGGTAGGTCTATATTATGGTCCCCATTACACTGAGGAAACTGAGACTAACAGGTTAAATGACTTGCGCAGGGTCACAAAACTATTAAATGTCTGAATTATGATTTGAACTCAGGTCTTCCTGACTCTGGGCCCAATGCTTTATCCACTGCTCCATCTAGCTGCCTCTCGTCACCCAAAGATAATCGAAATCATGTAAGACAACTTCAAACATTACCTTCAGTAGTCTATTGTTCCATAAAGGTTGAGCAGGCAAAGAGAAAAGTTTTTCTACTCCTCCAGTCTCTTTCCACATCATCAATTTTTTGGTGGGTGGTGCAAGGTCCAAAGTAGTGACAATATCAGAGTAATCACTTAGTTGGGCTCTAATTGTCTTGCTGTCCAGCTCTTTCACGCTATCAACAATTAGCTTCCTCTTTCTTTTGGCTTTTGTCTCCTTGACTGTGATGACAGGCAAAAAAATAGAATATGTCATGTCATAAATTTAGAGGCAAAGGCTAAACTACATACTGACAGACTGCATCCAGGCAGAGAAATCTGCACATATTTAGGTCCTTAGGCATCACTATTTTCTTGTACTCTTCACTTACCACACAGACCCAAATCAATGTAGACACTGAAACATAGAATGAAATAGTTCTAATTTGTTCTGTATATCTAGAAGTGCTTAACAATATCAAAATATCAGAAAGTTCAAAGATTTGGGTATAGATAATAGTGAAAGCTTTTATTAACAATATAACTACAGCATTTGTGGATGGAAGTCACCTTAGAAATCAACTAATCCCAATCTTTCATTTTACCCATGAGGAAACTAAATCCAGAAAAGATGACATACTCAAAGCCACGTGGCTAACTAAGCAGAAAGATGAGATCAAAACCTAGCTCCTCTGTTGCCAAAAATGCTTCTTTCACTATGCCACTGTAAAACAAAATTTATTTTGTGGTTCGGTACAATAACTTGTTCAAAATAATGATCCTGAGGTATTAAAAGTCCTCAGGAACCCTGTGCATAAAAGAGTAAATTACACTGAAGGAAGGTTTAGTGTTGCATGTGTTTTAATTGGTTTGAAAATTGGTAACCCAAACATAGTACCTATAAGAATTCTCACAGTTAACCAAAATAGCAAGAATATTCAGCCTTTGTCACACTACCTGTGTGACCTTAGGCAAGACATTTAACTTCTATGGGCCTCAGTTTCCCTATCTGTAAAATGAAAGTGTTGTACTAGATAGCCAAGATCCCTTTCCAGCTCTACGTCCATTCATTCTTCAACCATTACTGCAATTTCATTGCAAATCTTGACAGAAATTTTTTGCTTTTCAAATGATGTTTATATTTATTATCTCATTTTATCTGCACAACAAATTCTTTACCCTGGTAATCCAAGACCATTTTGTGATAACTGACTGTACCTCACCAAATAGCTAAATTAACATATTAATATATTAAAATAAAAATTTTAAATCTCACCAAAAAAAAAGAACAAGTAACAGAGCTTAAATTTATCCCTTCATTATCTCAAGGCAAAAAAAGGTTTGCTAAAGCAAAAGAAAGCAGAATTTACTGTGAATGAGAATTTCTGATTTATTTCCCAATACAAATTTTCTCCTTATAGCTGAAACCCAGAGATAATCAAGAACGATGTACCTTCAACTTCAATCTTAAGATGATCTTTACTTAGATATTTAATTCCATTCATGTGTGTAGTAATTACAGGAATAAATTCTGAAAAGTACCTCTAGGAGCAGAGAGCTTGTTGTTGTTGTTCAGGTCATTTTAATCATATCTGACTCTTTGTGACCCCATTTGGGGTTTTTTGGCAAAGATAGTGGAATGCTTTTCCTTCTCAGGCTTACTTTACAGATGAGGAACACTGAGGCAACAAGGCGAAGTGACTGAGGTTGGGATTTGAACTTAGATCTTCCTGACTCCAACTCAGTGCTCTATCCACTGTACCCCCTAGCTGTTCAGAAAGCTGTTTACTCTGTAGTTATTAAGATTTTCTGCACCTTTGCTACAAATGCTTTACTTTCCAGAGTAATACATCCTGGAACGTGCAAAGGTAAGCTTCTCCCTAAGGTTATCCTTTCCCTTTACTCTCTTCTCCATCTTTTTCACTAAAGTGTGTTCAAAAGACACTTTGCAATTTTTAGTTTCAGGATTCACATCAGGTATTCAAGTGAAAACAAACAAAAGTAGTGATTGGAAAGGGAGTATAGTGGGGGGTATAGATACTTACCTACCAGCGAGAACTTTGAGTTAACCTGCATTTTTGACCAACAATTTCCCAGCCCCCTCAAGCTGGAGAAGGAAACTTTTCCTTTTCTATCAGAGTAAGGAAACTACTGTCTAATTAAGGGAGAAAACTTTTACATCTCCAAATTTATTCACTAACAAATATCTAGAAATCTAGTAATCTATTAGTAATACTGACTGACCCCTTAAAGGCTCCAAACAGATAAACTGAGCTAGCCTACCAATTAGTTTGTATTAAAGGATTAATTGTACTGAGACAAATCACTATCTAGAAGTGACAAATCCTACAACGTATTTTGGATTATTCATTTCAACTCTGATAAGAAACAGTGTTTTAAGCTTATTGTATTGTTTAGATGTTCTATGTGTTTTCAGTCCTGAACTTAAAAAAGGCATTGTACATTTGTATACCACTTTTAATTTTTAAAAGCACTTTATCAAGACAGCTAGGGGTTAGAGCCTCAATCTTGGAGTCAGGAGGAGTTGAGTTCAAATCTGACCTCAGACACTTGACACTTACTAGCTGTGTGACCCTTGGCAAGTCACTTAACCCTGATTACCTCACAATAAATACATACATAAAGCCAGCACTTTATCACGATTTTTCTTACCATACTTTGTACTTTCTTATTTGTGCCATTAATTTCTTTTAGAGCTTGACTTCGCATTATATTACTTACTGCCTTCCATAAGATAAATCTAACTTCATGCACTTTAAAAATATTTATTTCCATAAAAAGAGCTGCTAATCGCAAATGTAAATTCAGCATCACTAATCTCAGTAAACTCTGTTTCTCTAATGAAATTAAACATTCTAGGTCAGGGACTGTGTCTTACTTTGTGTACACAATGTTAGGGTCACACAGTGAGGCAAACCAGAATCAGTACTTGGTTTCTTGACTTATATTCTATGCAACCTAGACTCCTATATTCAATTTAAATTACTAAGATATCTAAAATTTCCATTATCAAGAGTAGTCAAAACATATTTTATTTACTCACCAGTGATGTCAATAGGTTCCAAAGCAAAAGCTTCCTCTTCATTTGGAACAAGTGTTGTTTGATCAGTCATAGTTGGTAATGGTTCAACAGGGTCTACTGAATCTGGACTATCTGGTCCACCCACTGTTAAAAACAAAAACAAAGACACACACAAGTTATTTCCACCAAGAATTCCAAAGCCAACAATACCCAGAATTCCCCTATGAAATGTAAATACCCTTAAGAGAAAGAGAATCAACTCTCAGAATCTAATTATATACAATTCTTTCCTCCCAATTCCTTTTCCCACTTGAAAAACAAGTCCCAGTGTGAAAAAGGAAAATTAGAATAGAAATAAGTACTGCAATAGAAACTGACTTTCTAACCTAGCTAGGGATATTCTGATGTAACAAAGGTATAAATACTGTTGTGTAAACCAAATTTACTCACTAAATATAAATTTTAGCTCTTCAATCAATGTCTCATGTTAAATGTATTCTGGATACCACACAATCCCAACTAAATAAAAATACTAGAAACACATTCATGAAGTGGCATACTCACTTGATACATTGTCATCATCATCCATATCATCGTGTGCAGGCTGCTCTGGCATCATGACCCCTCCTTCAGAGAGGGCAGGTGGATCATCAAATATACCTCCATCATTATTACTTATAAGTTTGTCATCTGAAACAGTGAAAAAAACTCAACTATAATGTGAAATAGACAATAGACAATTGCTGAAAAAATAATAAGACCACACTAAAATGTTTCAGTGAGTTCACTTCACACCCAGCCAACTCTAATACAAAAAATTTCTTAAATAAAAATAACTTCTACATCAAATGTTCACATTTTGAAAGTATAATTCTAACCTGATATACCAACTAAAAATGTTCATTGTAATCTGAAGAATTAAGTTGAAAATTAAAGACTATCTTAAAAATCAGAAAATTTAGTACTATTCTAGACTATTCGCAAAATCAGACTATTAACAAAACTGTTAAGAATAGCTCCAAAGGAAACATTTGGTTAAGACTTGCCACTTGGTGATTAGTTGTTTATATACCAGAGTCCAATGAATGAATCATTTTGAAAGTCATCTTTTTGAACGTACCCAGTATGCCACCATCATTTCCCTCTCCAAAATTGTCATCCTTGTATTGGTCTTCATATTCTAGGTGGTTGATTTTCTCATTCAGGTGGCTGGTACTTTGTTCAGGTTCCAGTAAGAGGTTAGAAGCACTAGTGCTCACTAACATGTCATCATCTTCAAATGCACTACCCTCACGCATCATTTCACGATCATCCATCCCAAAGTCACCTAAGAATAATTTAAATCTATATTCACTGAAAAGAATTTTATATTGACAAAAAATATACCCACTTCCATAAATTTAACACAAATATTTTATTTTACACACATCCATGTTATTACAATTTTGCACAGAAATCCAAATGAATCCAAACCTCATAAATGGAGTTATCCATTTCATATAACTATCACTTATCAGGACCACTTGCTTCTTTAGTAGCAGTTAAAGAATTTTTATTTCTAAAATCTATACTACAGTGGAAATCTCCAAAGAGAGCTTTTCAGAGCTTTCTTTTTAGAAAATTTGTTACAGAGCTAACATGGCTTTGGTATTGAGAAACTAAAACAAGCTAAATAAGATGAACTAAAACAATATACAGTATCTATTGTTATGGGTTGAGAATAAAATGGAATATTAGGGGATCTTTTCTTGATGAAAAGGTATTACTCGATACCTTAATTCTACTTAGAGTCACTTCTTGAGTAACTCAGCATGTTAAAATATATAATTAGATATATCTGAATTTGGACCTAACCTAAACCTGAATCTACTAGAAAACTGCATAGACAGAATTAAGTAAGAAACAGTACAACAATTTATGTAATAACGATATTGTAAAGAAAAAACTTTGAAAGACTTAGGAACTCTGATCAACATACTGACTAATCACATTTCTAGAAAACTTGTGATGAAAGATGCTACTTATTTTCTGAAAGAGATGTTGGACTCAGAACAGCCAAGACATTTTTGAGGGGACACAGTCAATGTGGGAATTTGTTTCTGCTTTACCATACATATATGTAAAACGGATTTTGTTTTTTCTAGTTTTTTCAATAGGTGCAGGGGGAAGGGAGGAGAGGTAGAAGAGGTGTAGTTTCATGAAAAGAAAAAAAAATCTGTACAGAATCAATCACCCTTCCTAGCACTATCATACCCATTTCCCTGTACCACCCTCCCCACCAAACCTCTAATTCATAAGAAGTTATGGATCATGTTTCTTTTTCTTTTCTTTTTACCAAAGTCATTTTCCTGGAGGATACTGATGTTTCCAACTTCTTCCCTCATTGTAATCTCTTCCACTCTACTCTGGTTGAGGCTGAACTGCTGAGCCACATCAATGTCACTTTAAAAAAAAAAGTTGAAATTGCTTAGACTTTTTCAAAATAGAACACTGGGCTAAAATAATAACATACTTAAAAATATCTTGCATTATGGAGAAAAAATACTGAGGCTTAAGGTAAGACTTTAGAAAATGTGTAAACAGAACTGTGATGGTGTCTTATCATTTGGACCAATGTGCATGATAAAGCAGCAAAATCTGCCAGATTTGATGGAACTAGTAGCAAAGTAACAGGGGGGTGAAAATAATAAAATGATGGGAACTTCAAGAAGTAGCTATACCATGTACAGTTTGTGATAAATTAAAAGAATGCCTTGCATACCATAATTTTGGGAGTGATATGAAGAATTTAGAGTAAGATTCCACACTGAAAGTCAGTTAAAGATATGAGAATAAATTTTTTACAATACTGAACTCTAATAATGAAGAAATTTTAAGAAGATATGTAAATAAGACGGAGACAGTAAGAACAATAAGGGAGAGGGATATTCATCTATACAGGATGAGACTGGTGGTGAGAAAAAACACCAATTAATTTTAAATTGTTTCTGTTTTGTTGGCCAAAATATGGTCTTTGGGTTTGGGAGGAAAAAACCAAAAACGATCAAGTTACTAGTATAGGCCAAGTTTAGGTTGGTTCACTTGCCTTCAGTTTCCAGTCAAACACTAGGACACATTATTAAGAGCTGGTTTGAGACCATATAGAAAGGGAAGTGGTCATTAAAGAGTCAGAACAAGCTAATCTTACTTCCTTTTTTAACAGGGCTATTGGCATATGGATAAGTAAGTTTGCTATAGAGACAACTTACTTAGATTTTGGCAAAGCAAAGGGACAAAGCCTTACATGCTGTTATGCTTGTAGACAAAATGGAAAGATCTGAGTTAGATGACATCATAAAATAACTGTGGAACTGGCTGAATGCCTGGGTCCAAAAAATAATCAATGATGGATTGAAAATCTAGTGGCATGACTCAAAGATCCTTGACTCTATGACGTTTAACACTTTTATCAATGTTTGGAAGGCACAGATTGGCATGCTTATCAAATGTGTAGATGACACAAAGCTAGAAAAGATAAGAAATGCTGGACTGAGTCTGGATGCAAAAATATCTGGATAGCCTAAAATAATGACAAGGATAAAGTCTTACATTCGGGTGTCAATAAAAAAATCTACTTTGTAAGTACAAGATGGGAGAAGATGTGACTAGACAGTGGCTTTTTAGAAAAAGATCAAAAAGTTTTAGTTTGCTATGAGCAACATGGTAGTCATAACACTGAATAAAATCCTAGATTGTACAGAAAGCAGTGAAGTGTCTAATGATGGTAATCCAGAAGTAAATCTATTCTGGTCAGAAAATATCTGGAGTATTGTATTTAATTCTGAGCATAATATTTTAGGTACAACATAAGTTCAAGGGTATTCATGGTAATGGCCATGTTGACTAGACAATAAAATAACTAGTAAAAGGAACTGAAATTTTTGGCTTGGAGAAGACTTAGTGGGGATGTAATAGTTGCCTTCAAGTACCTGATGGGCTATCATCTGGAAGAGTAATTGGACTTGTTCTGTTAAGGAGCAATAGGTAGGAATTATACAGGTGCCCACTTAACCTCAATATTAAAATTCCTTTACATATGCCCTGTCATTGAAGGTCTTTAGGAGAGACTGAATGACCACTTGTGAGAAGGCATATGTAGGCACAGTTGGTTTAGGTTCTGTGATTCTGACCCAGGGCAGAAAACAATATATACACAAGAGCAGATGCCATTCTAAGAGTATCCAGAATGTTAAAGCCCAGAATAGGCTGAATCTTGCAATGAAAACTAGGACTAAATAAAAAAGTATTAAAAAAGCTGTGCTGGAGTAGTAAGACCAAAGTAGGAACAGGACTCTTTTAAGGGGGCTTGTGAGTATGTTAGAGGAAGTGATAATCACTAAGAGTCAGTATTAGTTCACCAACAGCAGGTCTTATTAGCCTAACCCCATTTTCTTTTTGACAGTGACTAGACTGTGAGTTAACTTACTAGATCAAAAGAATAGCAGACACACACTCCAATTTCAGCAAGGCATTAAAAATAAATGATGAGATAACTAAGAAAAAAGATGGAGAGACAAAAACTGGATGGTAATATAAAGAAGCAGACTCAGAACTATATAATCTGACCTAGAAGGTGAAGAGATGTCCATGACAGCACAATAGGGAGCTATCTGCTCAATGTCCAAATGTGCTTTAACATTTGTAACAAATTATTTCAATACATAGGTAGCATATTCGTAAAATCGGCAGATGACATGAAGGAGGAAAAGACAGGGGAGGGTGGGGGGAGAAAAATTTTCAACTCAAAAGCATATTGGAAAAAAAAATTAAAAAAAAAAAAAGACGGAAAGGACAGTCAACAATTTGGACGGTAAGACACAGTATCTTTCAAAAAGCTAATCGTGATCTTGGGCTGCATGGTATCTAGAATAAAGGTTATAATCCTATTGTACTCAGATAGCTGAGATTCAGTTATAGGTACCTTTTAGGACGGACACTGACAAGATGGGAGTACAACCAGATGAGGGTAACCAGTATGGTTAAGGGAATGGAAACTATCCTCTGTAAGACTGCAGTATTAGGGGTGTTCAGCCAGAAGACAAGACTAGGAGTTTGAAGGTTGGAAAATGGATGGGAGAGAAAAGGGAGATACATGATATACCTTTAAATATTTAAGGACTGCTACCAAATAGAAAGAGAATGTAATTTGTTTAACTCTGTCCCAGAGGGCTGAATTAAGACAGGGAATAGACTTTAAAGATAGGCAGATTCTGATATAAAAAATTAGATACATTCAAAAGCGGAATGGGACTACTCTGACAGGTAGTGAGTACTACACCACTAAAGGTCTTCAAAAGTGGAGGCCGGTTCAGGGAAATTATAGAGATTTCTGTTAAAGAATGAGTTGGCCTCAGTAACCTTTAAGGTCCCATCTAACCTAGATTCTATGATGATCCATCAGAACGATGGCCCAAAGAATCCTATGTTCTCTTAAGTCCAATCATGCTATAACTAAACTAGAATTTAGTTGAAGTTCCATTTCCTAAACTGGTTTGGCAATTTTCAAGCTGTGGGGAAGAATTTGTAACAATTTCCCCCTTTTGATTTACTCATATCCAACTGACTCAGGAAATGAATTGAAACAAAAAGAAATGCACACTTTAGCTTCTGGTCAGACTGCTCCCACAAAACTACATCCAGGTCCCCATGGAAAATCTTCATTTATGAAGATGATCTGACATCCACTGAATCATATCACAACTAGCATAGCACTTACGGCATGCTATTTATCCCACCCAGATAATACAAAACAAAACAGCAATCCTAAAAACCAAACTGATTGACAGCAAAAATCAGGGCATGTGCACCGCTAAGATAATGGCTGTATAAAAAATAATGCCAAGACATTCAGATAAATGGTACTACTGGAATGCACTGGCAGGTTATATATTTTATAGACAAAGCCAATAAAAAATAATAAAAATCATACTCTAAATCAGGCAGTGGCTGATCAAAGTCATGGAATCCTCAGGTAAGGTGATTGCATTATAAGCAGCTTCCCGATTTTCTTCAGGCAAATCAACAACACCTGAAAAAGACAAAGTTGAATCAAGAATAGGCCAATTTCTAAAGAACAAAAACGGGGGCAGTGAAATTTCCTGAAGGATAAAATAATAAAGATAGAATATTTTGATACAAGGTATTTCTATTCTTCTAAAATCATAGTAAGACATCCAGTCTTTAAAAGCTGCTGAAGGCACTTAAAAGTTGAAATTGTCTAGTCCGTGATCACATAGCCAATATGTATCAGAGGTAAGACATGAACCCAGGTCTTACGGACTCCATGGACAACTTTCCTATCTATTAAACCACACTTTTGCACTTTAATAATTATTGTTCGAAGTAAAAATCAATTTCTGTATAAATTTAAGAACTTTAAATAAAACCATACAAACTATATAACTATAAAGTACAAACCATCTACCAAATTAAGTGAGGCTATGCCAAGTAACCTTCATGGGTCAAATGTACAAAAAAAAGATGAGACAAAAACATAATTATAACATTTCTTTCAAATTTATGCAACACAATTATGGGTAAAGTTTTAAAGTACAATTACCTTTAAACAGTACAATAACAAGAAACACTGCTCCAAGCAGTTCTCAGAAAACAACACAAAAACTAACAGTTTGGTGGCTGATAAGAACAAGTTATCCTAACCTCTAGAAAAGGGGTTTTTTACCTGGGGTACATGAACTGTTTTTTTTTTAATATTTTGATAATTAAATTTCTCTATAACTGGCTTCCTATAATTAATAATACACACTCTATTTCATGCATTAAAAAACACTGCTCTGAAGTGGGGTCTATTGACTTCAGCAGACTGCCAAAGGGCTCTACATGACACAAAAATGTTAAAAAAAAACCTCACGCTTTAGAAGGCTAATGGAAAAAAAGAACTGATTATTGGCAATGTGTAGCATTAATTTAAAAAATAATTTTTGCACTTAGTGTAATGGTCAGTCACTAGATCTATAATTTTAAGATAGTAAATCATCTTTTAGAAGAGAAATATTTAAAATCTGTTTTTTTAAGATACTGTTTAATTATTAAGAATAATTTAGAATATCACTTGAAATAGCATCTACTACAAAAGTAGGGAAAATAATGAGAAAATTAGGATAGAAGAAAGCTTGACAGTACCTGGCCGAAAAGCCATCTTTATCTTAATGAAAGCTTCATTACAATCTGCAAGAAGATATTTTGCTTTCCTGTGATAGATTCGAACTACTCCCAATAAGAGATGTCCTGAGGTTCGAAGTGCCATCTTTACCTATAAATAAAATATTAACATTAACCTGTTATAAAATAAATTACATAGGGTAAGGTCACCATGAAAACAAAAGCAAGCAGGAAGACTAGCTAGATTTAACAAATTCTTCTATTCAAAACTCTCAATATTTATAATGAGGTTTATTATCTAGATAGTACAATAACTTAAAAAAAAAAAGAATGATACAAGTGGAAAGATTCTGAATTATTCTGTTGCCATAAGGACAACTTCCCTAACAGCTCTTGAAAGATTTCTAAGTTATCCAAACAATTCCCCAAAGCCTTTTAAAAGCTAAATTGGTGAAAAAATTCCTATTATATATTTAATATTTATTTTAGCCTGAATATTAGTCTTACATGGGTCAAATTTAAATGAATTTATTTTTATGTCCTTTATATACACTTCATAACAAAATGCCCACTAGGAGCTACAGCTTAATTTTATTATTTTAATTTACAAAGGTTTATTATGATTTTATCTTTGCTTTAAAGATACACTGTTAAAAGAGCATTCTGGGAAGATGGGAGAATAGGTCAGAAAATTCCAACCACAAAAGTGATAAAATAGCACCTCAGGGTTAACACAGAGCAATAAAAATAAGAGTAGGAAAACAGGAGTCCTGGGCCAGAGAAGATCTGAAGAAAAATCTCAGGACTGGGGGCATCTAGGTGGTGCTTCGGCCTTGGAGTCAGGAGAACCTGAGTTCAAATTTGGCTTCAGACACAATACATGTGACCCTGGGCAAGTCACTGGATTGCCTCACCAAAAGAGAAAACAAAAAAATCCCAGGATGAGGTTTGGTCCCTGTGAAGAGTAAACATCTCCAGGCTAGGGTCTGCTTAAACAACAAGCAGCAAGCCCTGGGGTTAGCTAGGCTGGGAAGCTGCCTCAGCCCCAGCCCCATGAATTTTTACCCCCCAAATTGTGAGAGCTATTAAGTGTCAGAGCCAGGTATGACTTAGAGGAATCTCAGCCAGGGGCAAGAAGAAATCAGCAAATGCCTGGTGGGTGCAGAAGCAGTGGGGGAGAGACTCTGCTGCTGTGAGCACTTACAGGAGGCTGGAGGTCTTGGTTTTGGCTGTAGGCCAGAAGCACCATCTCCCACACCCCAGGACTAGAGATAATTACAAAAACTAAGCTAATACACATTTTGAAAATGCATAGGTGGGGCAGCTAGGTGATGCAGTGGATAAAGCACTGGCCCTGGAGTCAGGAGGACCCGAGTCCAATCCAGCCTCAGACACATAACACTTACTTAGCTGTGTGACTCTGGGCAAGTCACTTAACCCCCATCACCCCCCCCAAAACACACAGGCAAAGGAGAAAGAATCCAACCACAGAGCGTTTACTGTGGGAATAGAGAAGACAGGGCGTTTGTCTTTAGAGATACCAAAGCAAAGAAACCCTCTTCTACTCCAAAGAGTAATGTCAAATGGTCACTTGCCCAAAAAGAATTCATAAAACTTAAAAAAGACTTCAAACATCAAATGAGACTGAGGAAAAACTAAAAATAAATAAATAAGAACAACCCAAGAAAAACAAAACTAAGAAAAGAAAGTCAAACAATTAAAAAAAGGAGATCCAAAATCTTAAGAAAATGATTTCTTGAAAATCAGAATTGGGCAAGGGGAAGGAAGCCAGCAAAGTTGTGAGATGAAAAAATAATAAAACAAGATATAAAGAATGAAATACTGAAGAGAATGTGAAACATCTCATAAGAAAAACAACTGATATGAAGAACAGATCAAAAGAAACATAATAATGGGACTACCTGAAAATTATGAGCAAAAAAAGAATCTTGATACAATAATACAAGAAATAATTAAAGAAAATTGTTCTGAAGCATTAGAAGAGTTTCATGAAAATAGGGGAAAAAAATCCACCCATCACCACCTGAAAGAGATCCTATGAGGAAAACCCACAGGGATATTATATATTATAGTCGAATACCAAAACCCCCAGCTCAAGGAAAAAAATACTATGAGCAATAGGAAAAAAACAATTTAAATATGGTGATGCCATATTTAATTAGAATCAGACAACACAAGTCACACAAGCAGTGGCGACCCTAAAGGCTGCAGGTCTTGGAACACTACATATTGAAAAGCAAAAGAACTGGGGTTCCAGCTGTAAATATCATACTCAGCAAATCCTGAATGGGATTAAAAAAAAAAAAAGACATTAAATGAATTGTCATATTTTCAGGACCTTGTTTAAAAACAAACAAAAACCAACCTGAACTTAATAGAAGATCTGACATACAAAAGCCAAGAGAAATAAAAAAGGTACATACCAAAGACTAATCAATTACAAGGAACTCAATAAAGACAGACTGTTTACCTTTTATGTATGTAAAAATCTTAGTAAAACTAAGATTGTCATTAGTAACTGCGTAGTGCATAACAAAGACTGGGGTAGACCTGAGTATGATGTGACTTTAAAAAGTAAAACTGTTTAGGAACAACTAAAAAGAGTAATTATCTTATACAAATGAAGTGCTACAGGAAGAACTGACACAGAGGAATTAGATGGGGGAGGAGGGTCTGTGAGTTCTGGAAACCTACTTTCATCAGGAAATGGGCTCAAGTGAGAACAATACATATGTATCTATAAGACTATAAAAAAGTCTTCTAAATTCAGAAAGAAAATGCTAAATAGTGAGGTATCTCTAGAGGGGAAGGTAAAGGAATAGGTTAAAGGGGCATAGAGAAGGGTGTTTAGATTTATGGGTCTGGAAGGATAAAGAGGGATAGGTTAAGTAATAGAAGGATAAGGTGGCATGTAGAAATAAAAGTAGAGGAGTCAGGAAATGAGATATGCACAAACATAAACACCAAAGATCAGGAGTAGAATTTGTCAGGTTAAGTATATGTTTATGTATGTACGTATGTATGTATGTATGTATGTATGTATGTATGTATGTATGTATGTATATTTGCACATATTTATCTGTATATATAAATATATCTATGCTTAATTGGGGGGGTTGCAAGAAAGAGGGGGAAAGAAGAAAGTACAAGTTGTACAGCAGAGAAAAAAAGAAAACTTACAAGGAAGCAAAGATGGACAGCTCTCAACACAACATGCAGTATTTATTATATAGGCTTTCCTGAAACGGAAATTTATTGCTATATGAAGCCTTTCTTGTGTTCTGCTGTGCACAAAATATGCCTTTATTTTTTTTCTTATTTTGTATTTAAGTTTTAGTATTTAAGCCTAAAAAAGATACACTGTTAGAGACATTTATTCATTTATTTAATGATTTATTTAATGCTAAGTCCCTGGTCAGAAATAAAAGCTCCCATCAAAACATTTTGCCAAATGCAGTCTACTCTATAATAAATGCCTTAATGCAAAAAAGTAAGAGTGGTTTATCACAACAAAACACAAGCAAACAAAACAAAAACTCTCTACAATCTTCTTCATTTATAATAACCAAAAACTTCACTTAGCAAGGCATATATGACTAAAAAGTAAAAAATGTTCTATTCCTCACCTTAAATTACTACACAGTTTCATCCCATGATGGGAGGTGGCAACCTGTGAAAAGCAGTACACCTAAGTTTCCAACTTCTTTCCTTCTGAGATAACATTCCAGAAGGTAGGATGATAGGTGCTGCTAAGTATGTAACAACTCCCAAACATGGGAATTTGATATACACTATAAGTATTGCAGTAATAGGGAAGGGTAGAATGGCTGTCTACACTGACCAACGTCTCAACAAATCAATGAAGAATTCACTGTAATAAGAACCTATATAAACCATGAAGAATTTTTCAAATCAATCTTTAGAAAAACACTATATTCTACTCTAATGTGAACTTTAAAATAAATAAATCTAAAATTGGGCCTATCTTATACCTCTGTACAGCCCACAGCACATAGAAAGCATTTAATTAGTAACTGTTAAAAAAAATTCATCTTCTGACCAAAGAAGTAATAACAGAATAATCACTTGAGTAGATTTCAAAGGGGCTACATTTTCTATTGATGATGTATCATCAACAAACACTGTCCCCTTTGACTCTGAACAAGTATGCTCTTCCCTACCCCAGTAAAATTTTTATAAATCAACATGTATAGTTTTCAGTCCCCTTGGTAAGGAGTTGAGATATATGACAATATGTTTCAGCAAACCTAACATGATAGTAATTTTTAGCTATAAAATCCATTGGTCAAAATGTTTAATACCCCCCAAATTTCCCAAATAAAAGCTAAATCTTACACGTATCAATTTAACATCTTCTGACCACCACTGTCAAAGTAAATTATACCATCTTTCAATGAAGCTTTTCCAACCATTCCCACCTTATCTACTATAATCAACATCCTTGTCACTCTCCTAAACATTTCCCAGTTATTTTTAATGTTTTTATGTCTACAAAAGTGCTTTTAGTTAAAGGCATAATTCCCAACTAACACTGCTTCATCAATGCAATTTTGCTAATACTATTATCATTAGTCAATCAATAAACATTAAACCGCCAACTATGTGCCAGGCACTGTGGATACAAAAAGGTTGACAGACACCAATGCTTAGTGGAACATCACCTATCTTGTTCTTTTGAAGTTTCACAGGAGGGGTTCGCTTGACTTACTCTACTAGACTAAAAAAGTATTCTCTACGTTCTTAACTCCCTTCAGCATAGGGTGGTTCAGTACAGTGAGATAACTGCAAATTATCAAACTTCTTGCTTACCTTTACCCCTTAATATAACATGACCAGATTTAATGATCCATAACACAGCATTGTAGAAAGCACATTAGATGGGAATCAAAAGATAGGGTATCTAATCTAAGACCTGCAACTTGGCAATGTGAAACATGCTGGCAAATCACTTAATCTCTCTGAGCCTCAGTTTCCTCCCCTGTAAAAAGAGATAGTTGGATTAGCCAGCACTTCTTAAACTATGGAGACTCACAATTTAAGAAGAGCTGAAAGGGTCTTGAGTGGAAAAAATTTAAGAAACCCTGGACTAGATGACCTCTAAGGCTCTTA